TTAACTTACCTTCGGATGTTTAGTCATGTTTATTTTGTGCTATAACTAGTAATAAAGTGGAGGAGATGATCAGTTCACGTCTGTTAAACTTAGGCGCTACAGCAATCTGTCACTCCACATTAAACAGCGCCAAAACGGCATTTATTGTTTAAATACTGCAATACAATGGACAGAATTTGAAATCTGAGACTTTGTTTCATATTAAAAGTACCAAAGCACAATGCTTATTGCGATATATTGGATGGGAGGTGCCCTTCAATGTTCCGTCCATTAACTGAAAACAGGCTAGACTAATCGATTCTTGGGATTTAAGAATCGATATCGTTCCGTAAAAATGAGAATCGATTAATGTCGATATCTCTATATTTTTTTACCCAGCCCTAATGCTTTAGTCGGGTCTATTTCTGCTGCTCATCTCTGGTGTCAGTGCAGCTCTCTGTCGCTACAGCCTTCATTTGATTTATTTTCCCCCCCTTTTTGTTTTTGTTCTCCTTTATTCTTTTGCTCTTTGGTCTATCAGATTGAAATGGCGATTGAGACGCTCCAAAAGTCTGAAGGTTTGTCCAGTCAGAGAAGTTCGCTGCTCAACAGCCATGTAAGTTGTAAACATGCACAGCTTTGCTTTGCACGATCTGCTTCGGTTTCTTTCTCACTCGCTTTCTCTCTTTCCTACACTGTGCCATTCAAAAGCGTCACATGATCAATTCGGAACATTTATTTGCATTCTTTATGTTTTAAATAAAGTAAATGTTTATTTCCAGATTTTCAGTGTGGACTTTTTAAATGGCATGGATATGCAAAGTTTATTTGTATTGTTCTTCCATGTGTATATACGTTCAGCATTTGCAATATTAACTGTTGCACTGTTAATGGTGTTAAAAAGATGTTTAATGATTTGCTGAGGTTATCCACCTTTTTCCCGCGCCCCATGATGCTTTGCACAAATTATGGGAGTAACTTCCATTTAAACTGTGAACAATCATCAAGGTTCGCTCTATGAACGCAATAATAAGCATTTCAAAAACTGGGTACATTATTTTACTCACCCTCCAACCTTTGATCATTTAAAATTGTAAAAGCATTAACAAATTACTTTAAACACACCATGAATAACTCCTAAAGATCCTCCTTCTATCCGCAGCAATATTACGGATGTGTTAAATATTATTATAGAAATAACAATTACATTTAATAGCATCCATGTGAAAACAAACCTGGAAAGAGCTAGATTCAAGTGATTATTACGTTTTGAATATAGATATTTTTCTTACAAAAACACATCGATTCGCTACAGAAGGCCTTTGTTCACCCCCCGGAGCCGTGTGAGACACTTTTATTTATTTTTTAATGGATTGGCGATTTTTATTTAAGTTCTTTTGGACTGAAGCAATGCAACACCCGCTGAGTGCCATTAAACAGCTTGAAAGATCAAAGACAATTTTTAATATAACTCTGACTGGATTCGTCTGAAAGAAGAAAGTCATATACACCTAGGATGCCTCGGGGGTGAGTAAAACGCAGCCTAATTTTCATTTTTGGGTGAACTAACCCTTTAATATACCAGATGTTATTCTCCTGACTTCTGAAAATAGAAAATAGAAAATGAATGAAAACGTACAGCCCATTCAGTCAGAATGACGGATAAGAATTGTTTGTAGCGCAATCTTATGATTTGAATAACCAGTCTTTTTGAGTGGAACTTCCCCAAACCCGAAGTGCCTCCCATAATTTAAAACACCGTAGGCTCGTTAGGAAAAAGGTGGACCGCACCATTGTCATTCCAAATCTGTGACTTACTTTGCAACACAAGATGAATTTTTTTTAAAGAAATGTGCACTTTATCTGATGAATGCTGCTGTTCTCCACAGCTGCAATGGCTCCTGGATAATTACGAGACAGCAGAGGGCGTGAGTCTGCCGCGCTCCACGCTCTACAGTCACTACCTGCGCCACTGTCAGGAGCAGAAACTGGACCCGGTCAATGCTGCGTCTTTTGGGAAGCTCATCCGCTCCATCTTCATGGGGCTGCGCACCCGCCGCTTGGGCACCCGGTAAAATCAGCCCCTCACACGCTCCGTTCTAGGGGTGTAACGGTTCACAAAATATTTCTGTTTTAAACCAAGAAGGCGAGCCAAAGGATATCACGCAAGCAACGTGCAAACTTTGAGTTTGAGAGTTACACCGAGTCGATTCACTGTGCAGAAAGTGAAAGTAAAAGCAGAGTAATGACGCCGCATTCTCTCTCAGAGACGACGAGAGACCAATCTACTTCAGCATAGAAAAAAAATATGAAGCAGCAACAGTTTCCAGCACTGATAATAAATCAGCATATTAGAATGATTTCTGAAGATCATGTGACACTGAAGACTGGAGTTATGATGCTGAAAATACAGCTGCGCATCACAGAAATAAATTATATTTTAATGTATATTAAAATCGAAAAATGCTATTTTACATCATAATAATATTTCACAATATTAAATTTTTTCCTGTATTCTTGATCAAATAAATGCAGCTTTGATGAGCAGAAGAAACTCCTGTAAAAACATTAAAAATCGTTCTGATCCCAAACTTTTGACCGGTAGAGTATAGCTAACCGTTTTCATTTATTCCCTTAATATTTCTCTTAATATTTCATTATATTTCACACACTTTAAGCTCTTTTATTTTCCCCTATTAGCCAACCGAATCGAATTGTTCGGTTTGTAATGTGTACCGAACCGAAAGCCTCGTACCGAACGGGTCAATACGAATACGTGTATCGTTACACCCCAACTCAGTTCTGTTCTGTGCTCTCCACAGCTGCATTTATTCACAGCAGTCTCATTTCCCACCTTGATTTTAGAGGGAACTCTAAGTATCACTATTACGGGATTCGCGTGAAGCCGGACTCTCCTCTGAACCGGTTGCAGGAGGACATGCAGTACATGGCACTGAGACAGCAGCCCGTCCAACAGAAGCAGAGGTACAAGCGTCTCAGTCAGACCGCACGAAAGAGATCTGTAGCGCTGTTCTCACGAGTATCCCGCGTGGTAGTAGTGTTCCCAACAGAAGAGCATGGCGATAGCAACGCAAAGGTCAAGGGTTCAATTTCCAGGAAATGCATGAACTGATCAAATGTATACGGGTCAAAGACGTTAAGATGTCCACATAAAATCACTTTTGTAAATTTCTTTTGATGTCCATGGAAAGCACATTAAATGTAAGTAAAGTGTCTACTTAAGGTTTCAAATAAGTTTTTGGAGAATAAAATGTTACAATTTGGTTGAAATAATGTTACGTTGTCATTCAGTGTAACACAATATTTATGTAAAAATTTTAAAAACATGCTTATTCTGATGTGTACATATTAAAATATATAAAAGAATAAGGGAGCATATTAAATTTGATTGTTTTAAATGAGTAAAACATTCTTACTGACAAATGGGCAAAACCTAGGATAGCGGCAAATTTAAAAAATGTAAAATAACTACTAATTAGTATTTGGGGTGAAAGTAATTAGTCTTTTAATGTGTCATAAATTGATTTTTGTTGTAAATATGCCTGACAAGATTGTTACACTGAATGACATTTTAGTGGGTCTCTTCTGTAAATCAGGGAAAAATGTATGATGTTTATTTTTTGCTCAGAAAAACAAAAACAAAATTGCAATTAAATTAAACAGAACATTTTTTAATTTTGGGGGGAAAAACAACAGCAATTTAAAGCAGTATTACACTTATTGTTTTTATGCTTAAACCCTTTTTCGTCTTTGACCCATACCTTAAATGCAATGCAAGTCGCTTTGGATGAAAGCATCTGCCAATTGCATAAATGTAGTGCCATATGATTTCTGCAAAGCGGAAAATGCGGACGGAATCGTGGAATCCAGTCATAAAAATTGAATTTACTATATAATGCGGAATGGCACGGAATTTGCCCAATTTTGGACGGGAAAATCAAAAGTAAATCAAAACACGATATGGACTAGTGTCTGTGAATATTAAGTCATAAAAATACCATTTAATTATGAATCCTGCATGTTCTGCGTGTCTCTGTGTGAATTTATGGCACAGACGCGCGGTTTCGTTTACTACACGAATACTGAAGCACGCGTGACGCTCGCGGTGTTTTCAGCCTTCAATATATGAGTACATGAACACATGAACATGATCTGAGTCACAAGTCACTTCATGAGCATTTGACCATTTCTTTTGAGTAAAACTATCTTCATATAAAACAGAAACCTAAAGGCCTTTACAGCATCCTGTCAAAATAAAAGTTTGGTTTAACTTGAAGAAACGGTGACAAAAATATTACGTAATGTTAGTACTACTACTAAAAAAACATTATTTTTAAAGGAATATTTACCAGTTACCAATTTATTTAGCAGAAAAATGTAAGTACACAACACAGTATTTCTGGGGGAAAAAAGGAAAAAATAAAACAAATTTGGTAGCACTTTATTTTAGGGTCTCTTAACTAGTTGCTTATTAACATGCATATTACTAGAATATTAGCCATTTATTAGTAGTAATTAAGCACTTATTAATGCCTTATTCTGCATGACCTTATTCTACATCCTACCCAATACCTAAACTTAACAACTACCTTACTAACTATTAATAAGCAGCAAATTAGGAGTTTATTGAGGGAAAAGTCGTAGTTAATAGTGAATAAGTGTTCCCTATTCTAAAGTGTTACCATTAATTTTATAACATCAATTAAATAGTGATGCTTTTGATTATTGATAGTTAATGAAACCATTAAAATTGAATCCAGAAAATTAATGGAAAACAGAATTTGGTCAAAAACTGCTTTTGAGAAAAAAATTAAACGTATTTCCTAGGGTCTTCATTTTATTTTTGTTAAACTTTTAATAAATTGCTGCTTAATATAGTGTTTCATGATTTCAGTTAATATTAATAATATTAATAAAATGTTATTTAACCATTAAAACAGTCTAGAAAAATTCAAACGAAAAAAAAAACCGTAATCCAGAAAAATTAAAAGGGAAAAAAACGGAATTTGGAAAAAAATAAAATGGAATTTGGGGAAAAAATAAAACCGATTACATAGGGCCCTATAAATGTAAATGTAGCGCCTTTAGTTTTGGAACAAGGCTCATCTCTTATCGTCTCTTCTCTAGATTCAAGCCAGTACCGAAGATGGATGGTGTTTCAGGGGAGAACTTCTCCGCCGGGGGGCAGCACACACCCAGCGCTGCAGAGCAGACGTTCATCGCTCAAAGCCAGCACCATCAGCAGTTCCTCGGTAAACATAACGCAGAAATCGCTGGAGACGGTTAGCGCACATTTGTGCTATAGAAGAGCTTTTCTGAATGTCCCCATATGCCCCATTAGACGGGTCCAGAGCTCTGCCAGAGTTCGCTGAACTTGACCTCGGAGAGCCTGTGGAAGGCGTCGAACCAGAGGACGTCAAAGCCCTTCAGACGCTGTACAGAGAGCACTGCGAGGTCAGTCGTTTAGGACATCGTTACGCTCCAATAGGCCTTTATCACATCCGGCTCCGATTAGTATACTCTCAGGAAAAAAGGTACAAAAGTTGTCACTGGGGCGGTACCTTTTCAAAAGGAACACCTTTGTACCTAAAGAGTCCATATTGGTACCTTAAAGGTACACATTAGTACCTAAAGTGTACATACTAGTACCTAAAAGGTACAAAAGTTGTCACTGGGGCGGTACCTTTTCAAAAGGAACACCTTTGTACCTAAAGAGTCCATATTGGTACCTTAAAGGTACACATTAGTACCTAAAGTGTACATACTAGTACCTAAAAGGTACAAAAGTGTAGCTTTTGGAAAAGGTACCGCCCCAGTGACTGCTTTTGTACCTTTTTTTCTTAGAGTGTAGCGTAAAGGAATTTCCACCTGCATTATTACCAATGTACAGACGCCAGTTTTGTGAAGAAAATCAAACTAATTTAGTTGGACTTAGCAATAAAGGTCAAAATTTGAAACGGTTTATATATACTGATGCCCTACCATGCATGTCATACTTCATTTTAATGTGTAACATTATCTGATCGTCCATGTGACATTAATGAATAGGCAGCACACTGCTCAAATTACTCCCAGAGGAATAATCGGGCTGATTTAAATGCATTTTTTATATTATTTTGTTTATTCTTGCAATATATTTATTGTGATTAACCTCCCGTTTTTGTATACAGTATAATGCCGTTCAATCATTGCACTCAATTACGCATGATATGACTCATTATTAAGATGATCAATCTAGTTATTTTTGAATAATCCTCTATGGGCTGGAAATATTTGTTTATTTGACTTTAACTTAACTTTTATTTAATGTAAATATTGAGGATTGCATCGTAAAGTAAGTGCATGAAATATGTAAGCATTACTGTTTAATGCAGTATGTCTTTAATGTAATAATCTAAAACAGTCTTTAGTCATAATTAATATTTTAAGATTTTGTTCATTTAAATGCTTTTTAATGTGATATGCTGTTTGTGTTGTTTTCTTGCAGTTTTGTAATAAAATAAGTTGGTAAGACTCTTAAGTATTGCGCATAAATATACAGTATGGCTTGTGCGCTCCCCTTTAAGTCACCAAATATACATTGGAAATTCATGAAACCATCTTCCTTGGTTCCATAATACTAGGGCTGCGTGTTCTGTGTCTTTCAATTTTTTGCGATTTGGCAAAAAATTAAAATCTCTTTTTTTGTTCTTTTTTTTTTACGTTTGACCGATTCTCAATTTTTTTTATGTTCTTTCTAGAACGTTTGACCGATTCTCGATTTCTTTTCTTTTCTTTCTAGAACATTTGACTGATTCTCGATTTTTTTTCTTCTTCTTTTCTTTCTAGAACGTTTGACCGATTCTCTTTTTTTTTAATTTTCTTTCTAGAACGTTTGACCGATTCTCGATTTCTTTTCTTTTCTTTCTAGAACATTTGACTGATTCTCGATTTTTTTCTTCTTCTTTTCTTTCTAGAACGTTTGACCGATTCTCATTTTTTTTTATTTTCTTTCTAGAACGTTTGACCGATTCTCGATTTCTTTTATTTTCTTTCTAGAACGTTTGACCGATTCTCGATTGTTTCAATATTTTTTTTCTTCAGAACGTTTGACCGATTCTCGATTAAACACTTTTTTTTTCAGAATGTTTAGACAGATTCTCGATTTATTTCAATATTTTTTTTCTTTTTTCTTCAGATTGTTTGACCAATTCTCTATTTTTTTTTTTCTCTTTTCTTTCTAGAATGTTTGACCGATTCTCGATTTTGTTTGTTTTTTTTCTTCAGAACATTTGACCGATTATTTAAATTTTTTTTTTACATTTTTTTTTTTTACAACGCTTGACCGATTCTCGATTTTTTTATTTATTTATTTATTATTATTTTTTCTTTCTAGAACGTTTGACCGATTCTCGATTGTTTCAATATTTTTTTTCTTCAGAACGTTTGACCGATTCTCGATTAAACACTTTTTTTTCAGAATGTTTAGACAGATTCTCGATTTATTTCAATATTTTTTTTATTTTTTCTTCAGATTGTTTGACCAATTCTCTATTTTTTTTTTTCTCTTTTCTTTCTAGAATGTTTGACCGATTCTCGATTTTGTTTGTTTTTTTTCTTCAGAACATTTGACCGATTATTTAAATTTTTTTTTTACATTTTTTTTTTTTACAACGCTTGACCGATTCTCGATTTTTTTATTTATTTATTTATTATTATTTATTTTTTTCCAGAACGTTTGACCGATTCTTGTTTTTTTTTTATTAATTTTTTTAAGTTGTCAACTTGAAAATGTAACTACATGATTCAAGTAACTTTTTCTTTATTAACCCTCTAGTTAAAGAAAATTCTATTCCAAGTGCAGCACACATGAAGTTGTCAACATGATGTAAACGTTAAAAGATCACTTTTTAAATATCTTTGCAGAAAACTTGTCTTATTATATGTTCAGAAATAATGTGAGGAAAATGCTTTAAAAAATCTCAAAAGTCAAGGTAATTCAAATTCAAAATGACTGAAGGTATAACTAATTCTAACGTTTGGTAATATGTCTATTCGAAATCGCGATTCCTCGATATCTAAAAAAATACAATCGTGGAAAAACATTAAATTCGAATTAATCGATAAAATCGGAAAAATCGCCCAGCCCTACATAATACTCAATTAATGATTGTAAACTGAGTTTGGTGTTTGTAGAAAACGTATCCGTGCTAAATTTTACATAAATAAATCACAACAGTCCACAGCCATTAATACAAGTTTTTTACGCTACTATTTGAAATCCGCTCTTCGAACGTGTGATAAAGGCCTATTCTCAGCTCATCGAGTTCAAGTTTAAAGGTGTTGTCACCGTTTTCACATGTAGGCCATTTTGGACGTAGTGGTGAACCTTCAGTTCAATCTAATCGAGAACTTGTGGCAGACTTTCTGGCGCTATTCTCCATCCAGCTCCATAGAGGGCGCCACCATCACAGAAAACAGGTGTGTTACTCGTTACCTACCTCTTTGGTGCTTCATAAAGTTTACCAGATTAAACAAGTAATATTGGTTACACTTTATTTTGATAGTCCACTTTAGACATTCTACTAACTATAAGTAACTTTGCAACTACATGTCAACTAATTCTCATTAATTTGCAACTACACGTCTACTAACTCTCAGAGTAGACCGTTAGGTTAGGTTTAGGGTTAGTAGAATAAGTTGACATAGTATGTGGACCCATCAAAATAAAGTGTTAGAAGATATTAAGCAGACAGTCTACTAATACTCTTAACGACTGCTAGTTGACATGTAGTTGCAAAGTTACTTACTGTTAGTAAAATGTCTGAAGTGGACTATCAAATTAAAGTGTTACCGTAATTTTAACATATGATTGTTTTTGATTCAGTGGTGTGAGCGAGATCGAGGGCCGCCTGCCGCGGACCACACTGGTTCTGCTCTGCGGAAACGAGGCAGTGCTAAAGTGGATGAACACCTGTGATCACCTGATGTATCAGGCCCTCGTGGAGATCCTCATCCCTGATGTTCTGAGACCCATTCCTAGTGAGTCTCTCTTTATAGTCATAGCCTCAGAAGGCACAGATCATTGTGGATTAGCATGACACACTTTTCTTCCAGTGTTCTGTACAGTTGAGATACTATAAACTAGGGGTGTATTCGTCACGATATGATATGATACGATATCAATTCTCATACCTACCGATACGATATTTGCCGATACCTCAAAAAATTCTACGATACGATTTGATACAGGAGTATATTGATTAGTGGTCGACCGATATTTGTTTTTTGATAGCCGAAGCCGATATCTTGGAAAGCAGGGTGGCCGATATAATGCCGATATAATTTTATTTATTTTAATTAATATTTAAGAAATTGTGGGCAAATGCATAAAGCATAGCATAATTTGAAATCACGAATTTAATGTTTAAAGCATTCAATTTGCACGGACCGAAAGTCACGCAGAGAACACGCGATCATGCAGGTCACATGCACACTTCACAAGATCTCACAACTGGATTCGACTGTTTGCGAGGTTTGTGAAATTAAATTTTCATTAGCCATTCAAAGATTTGTTTAAATGAGCACTGTGTGCTCGGGTGCTGCCGCTCTCAGCGCCATCAAAATAAAAGTCCTGCCTCGAACGCATCGGCCAAACAGAAAAACTTATCGGCCGATGCCGATATTTGAAAAATGCCAAATATCGGCCGATATATCGTGGCGATATATTGGTCGACCACTAATATTGATCAATTTATCAATATTATGATATTATATACCTATTTTAAACAACCATCTACATTTTTATTAACTCACAAATGCACCCAAAATATATAACATGAACATTTATCTGAAATTTTCACATCCTGTACCTAAATTGGGACATTCACAATAAAACTAGGCCTACACTTTTTTTTTTTAAATAATAATTATAATAAAGAAAAATAAATAATTGGGAAAACAAATAAAAAAATCAAGTCACACATAAGATCAGTAATCTTATGACATGACAACAGTCAAGAAAGTCTTTTAGGCTTCAGTGTGTAAAATAGTGTAAATCCTCATTAGGAAACAACTAAAGCGAGATACTCCAGTTGTAAGAAAAAAATACATTAATGTAGAAAAATAAATATTAGGATAAAATTACAAAAATAAAGCTGTTAAAACCTTGAGACTTTTTTTTTGGCTGCTACTATGGCTCAGTGCTAAACATCTTTTCTACTGATAACCAAATCACAAGCAATAGCAGAAAATAAATACAATAGAACAAATTCAATAAACAGTGCTTTTCAGGTTTTTCAGCTCAGTCTAAAAGAGATTTTTAGGTACAGAAATGTATTAATCAAATATAAAATAACTACATAGTCTTCACTGTATAACTTAAATATAGATTAATCATTATTGATGTTACAAAGGATGTTTAGTCAGGAGCAGTGAGCACTGCTTTTAATTTTCTTTGACAGCATTAGGTTTATTAGTTTTCTTTCACCGAAAACAACTTCTCACACAGCGCTCAACAACTCCGTCAACAATCCCCAGCGTCTTTTACGCTCGCCTTGTGCCTTCAGGCCGTCCTTATATTGAGTCCTGATACGTGAGTTTGAACGAGAAAAAGAAGTCTCTTCTGCTCACCAAGCCTGCATTTATTTGATCCAAAATACAGCAAAAGCAGTAATATTGTGAAATATTTGTACTATTTAAAACAGCTGTTTTCTGTGTGAATATCTGTTAAACTGTAATTTATTTCTGTGATCAAAGCTGTATTTTCAGCATCATTACTCCAGTCTTCAGTGTCACATGATCTTCAGAAATCATTCTAATATGCTGATTTGCTGCTCAAGAAACATTATTATTATTATTATTATTATTATTATTATTAT